TATAATATAACATTTTCTAAACATAATTGTTTAAATAACTCATTTCTAAATCTCTCTTTATATATATATATATATATATATAATTATTATAATTAATTTTTGCCATGATGACAGTCAGATAATTAGGCAGGTTAGGGTATAACAATGGTTTGTTCTGTAGACTATCGAAAAAAATAGCTTAAAGGGGCTAATAATATTGACCTTAAGATTCATTTAAAAACTTTTAAAAAGATTTTATTCTAGCTAAAATCAAACAAATAAATCTTTCTCCATAAGAAAAAATATTATCACACATACTTTGAAAATATCTTACTCTGTTAAACATCATTTGGGAAATATTAAAAAAAGAAAAAAAACATTCAAAGGGGGCTAATAACTCTGACTTCAACTGTGTGTGTGTGTGTGTGTGTGTGTGTGTGTGTGTGTGTATAAATATATAAGATTAAACATTTCTAAATCTATGCAATTGCTTTGTACTTCATTCCATAACAAATAAATAAACAGCAAAAACTGTTTTTACTGTGTTACAAAACTCAAATAAACACAGCCGTGGTGAGCAGAAGCACATTCTCTCGACAGAAAACGAAACATTTTCAAGGCATTTTTCTTACATCATCACTGCGTGGAGCGTCTTTCCACATCTCTCCCCAGTCATGCTCGATCTCCTCCTTCTCACGCTGTAGCAAATCCTCCACCTCATCACCTTCATCCTCCTCGTCTTCATCCGAGCTGGTCTCAATGTTCCCCTTCCCTCTGGCCAGATCAGGCCCACTGTCACTCTCTTCTTCATCATCATCATCATCATCATCATCATCCTCTTCAACACCAGATTCCACATCCTCATCTGTAAAACCCATAGAGGTGTTATTAGAGGTGTAGAAGACGCACCAAACACGAAAGAAAACGCCCCGGAGTTTGACGTCATCCTCCTGTGACACTTTCACTATCCCGCATTCAGAAATGATTCCTCACAGCAAACCTAAACAATCTGTAGCGACAATTTCACACACGGCGTGTCTCAATGATAAAACCAAGAAGAAAAAAACAGTTTCGACGTTTCCCTGCAGTCACTGAATTGTTGCATGGATTGCGTCATCAGATTCTGCGCTCCTATTGGTTCTTGGATTGACGCTCATTGTAGCTGTTGACAATGCAGGAAAGTGTCTTTAATCTTCTGACACTGCCAGAACTTCATCTGAGGAAAAATCTGATCGCAACGGGCACTCAGAGGCTGTCAGTGAACATGTCAAACCAACGATCAAAGATCACCGATTTTAGCCCAGGATTTCAGAAATCTTTTAAGATTTCCCAAATTTGTCTCAGATGACAAAATCCTTGCTGAAATCTCACAGTGTGAGCACGACTTAAGCCAAGACAGTCCCCAATAAAGAAAAATTAATCGATTTGCAATGAATATTGGGCCAATAGGAAAAGCTTACCTTCTTCATATACTCTCACTCCCTTTTTAGTTTTCTTTGCTTCTTTATTCCTCTGGATTTTCTGCTCTTCTTCTTGTTCAGATTCATCGCTCTCCCCCTCCTCCTCCTCATAATCATCATCATCCTCCTCAACTTCAGCTTCCTTGTCAGCCTCGAAGCCTCTTTTCTCTTTCTGTTCTTCCTCAGTTTTTTCTTCATCTTCATCATCATCATCATCATCAGACTGTTCGGAGTCAGAGAGCTTGTAGAAGCGCTTCAGGTCCTCAGTGGAGGTGTGTTTGACGGGTCGACCGCGTTTGTCCACCGTATACTTCAGTTTGAAGCGCTCATCGTGAAACATGGACTGGAAGCGCTTGTCGATCTTGATTTTGCGCTCTTTGTTGGGCATCTCCCAGAAACGAGGGTCCTTCTTGACCTTAGAGAAGCGATCATCGCCGCTTGCAGTGTTTTTGGAGGTCATGATGCCAAACTGGAAGCAGAAACCTGTGGAAAAAACAAAACAGAAAAAGTTTATTTTAGGTGCAAGAAGAAACACGACTTTCAGGCACCATTGGAATGTGTCATGTGTTTTATTATATGTATTTATTTTGTTTTATTCATTTTCCTTCAGCTTAGTCTCTATTTTAGAGGTCGCCACAGCGGAATGAACCTCCAACTATTCCAGCATATGTTTTATGCAGCGGATGCCCTTCCAGCCGCAACACAGTATTGGGAAACACCCCATAGGCGGAGCGTGTGTAAGACTTGGGAAGGCTTAGCTTACTTTTATTATTATTATGTACATTACAGGTCAGGTTATTATTATGTACATTTGGGGTCAGTTGATTTTAAATGTTTTGAAATAAGCTTCTCCTGCTCACCAAAGCTGCATTTATTTAATCAAAAACACAGTACAAATTGTAAAATTGTGAAATGTTATTGCACTATAAAATTACTGTTAAAAAAAGTTTATCATTTCATTTAATCATTTATTTCAGTGATTTTAATAATGAATTTTCAGCTTCATTCCTCCAGTCACACTCTAATATTAATTATTATTATTATTAGTAGTAGTAGTAGTAATAGTAATAAAAGCAACAAGGAGTAATAACTTCATTTGAAACTACATAAAGTGAGTAATAAATATTTAATAAATAAGTATTTAACAATTTAACCATTTTTCTTCATATTTAATTAATGCCGCCTCGATAAACAGAATAATTTTAATAAAAATGTGAAATAAAATGATTAGTTAATAAAAATAAACTGAACCCAAACTTTTGACCGGTAGTGTAGATCAGTGGGTGAGTTTAATAATATAGTTCTCTCTTCTTTATCAGTCACAAATCTTTTTAAATGCATTAAAGAGCAGAGCATATATATTAGGCCTACCCTGGAGTTTGTTTCCCCTCCGCCTATGAAACACCCATAAACTCTCATTTAACATAATAGTTTAATTTGTAAATAAAGACAAGTTACATTGTCAATCAAACTTTATTTTAATCAAATGTTGACATTTTTTGTTGTCGTTTGAAACATTAAACAACTTGCTTTGCATTTATTTTGCAAATTTAATGTGATGCAGACATGAAAATGAGAAGTTTTGCATTTGATTTCATAATAAACACAAACACACTACACAAATGCAATGAAGCTATTATAATGCAAACTAATTATGGAGACAAAAAAGTGGTTCAACTTCTTTTTAAAGAATAAAAAAGTTAAATAACACAACGAATCAGCCTAAAATCAACTTTCAGATAAGCAAACAAACAAATAAATTCTGTAGATTATTTTTTTAAAAGTTTTTCCCCACAAAGGCTCTCTCAATAACAGAGCATATAGTCAATTGATACTTAATATTGCTATATATATATATATATATATATATATATATATATATATATATATATAATGTTTTATGTTAATTGACAGAATGTGTTTTCTTTCCTCTTATTTCCACCGCACACATCTGCACTGAATTGCTTCATTGACAAGTAAATAAAACAATGAACGTTTCGCTACGTGTTCACTAATGTATCACAGTATTGCTATTAATGAAACACGCTCAAACATTCAGTCATAACTGACTGCACGACAAATAAAAGACTTATTTAAAGGCCAGCACTGACCTGCTGAGTTTTCGTGCGATATTACAGCTCCGAGCTTAGCCACACACGTGTTTACCCGTGATGCTTCACTCTTTCCGTGACCACGTTTGAAGCTCCGCCCTTACTTGACTACGGCGAGACATAAAGCTCAAAACACACCGGACGACGACGGACATAACAAATCTGTGGGACGATTGTACATTTACATTGATTCATTTTCTTTTCGGCTTAGTCCCTTTATTAATCAGGGGTCACCACAGCGGAATGAACCGCCGAATGTATATTTGTATTAAATTTAATTAAATACAGATTAATTAAGTTCTAAACTGATGTCAGTTTAAACCTTAATTAATCTAAAAATGTTAAAAAAAAAAAAAAATCTAACATAAAACCAAAATTGTTCAACATTACTAGAACATTTGATGAAAATAAAATAAAAATACTCTACAATATTACTTCAAAAATTTATCAAAACCTATTAAACCTATAACAATTAAAAAGTTCTTTTTTATATATATGTAGTTTCATAAAAAAAATTAATAACCGAAATAAAAGTGTGAAAATGTAATCATATTTTACTTTAGCTATAGTTCAATATTAAACTGATGTACAGTATTACCTTTTAAAAACTAAAAGAAACACAAAAATAAATTCACCAAATATCAGCATTACAATCATTTACTAGTTAAAATGAAATGGAAAATATAAGATAATATTAAAGTATAATGGTATATTTTTCTTTACTTATATAGGATTAGGCTATATTAAAGTATAATGGTATATTTTTGTTTACTTAAATAGGATTATATTAAAATATAATGGTATATTATATTTTTATTGACTTATATACCATTATATTACAGAATTTAAAATATATATATATTTTAAATAATCAATTAATTAATCAAAAATGTCCATAAATTGACTTAAAACGTTACTTAAAATTAACTTTAACTGTTATAAAATGTAAAGTGTTAAAACACACACACGCACACATTTTTTACAGTTTGTACTTATTTTTATTTAATGTAAATTACAGTTTCAATTTTTTATTACAGTTTTTAATTTAACATACATCGTTATACAGTACTATATAAACATAAATTCCTGCAAATTATCAAAAATCTAAAATCATACACTGAAAATATCCTAAAGTTTACTATAATAACGCTGACCTGGTGCTTTTACTGTATTTAGACACTTTTGCAGTTGTAAAATGGACGCTGTTTTCTATAGCACTTTACCTAATATAATAAATCTAATCTAATCTAATCTAATCTAATCTAATCTAATATAATATAATATAATATAATATAATATAATATAATATTATATAATAATATAATATAATAAACCTATTTTTCACTGACTCCGATCCGTGTTCCAGTGTTCTGGTTGGTTTGATCCACTCCATATTTTACCTCAGACCTCTTGCTGTTGTCTGACGCAGAACTGAAAGCTCTGCACTCACAATCACGCCAAAAAAATGTGTTCAAAACAGTTGTGTTTTAGTCTAGTTACATGTTAAAATGTACTAATAAATAAATCAGGAATGATGAACGTGTCCGTGAAGAGTCTCCGCGGTGTGAGCAGAACATGGCGGAGTTTTTCCTCCAGGCAGGGAATGAATGTGTTTGACAGGAGCATGAAGCGCAGGCAGAAGGATTGGGCTTCATCTTTACTGGACAGCAGCAAATACGATTACCTTCGAGAAGAGGTCAGATAATGTGCACAATGTTTGTTTAATATTAGAGCAAAAAGGGTTGTGTGTGTGTGAACTTGTGTTTTTGTTGTGTTTGCAGGTGGGCAGCAGAGTGGCGGACAGAGTTTACGATGTCGCAAGGTCACTATGCTTAACATGCTAATATAAAATTAATAATTCTGGCAAATATTCAATTATGGTATTTGTTTTACTTCGTGTCATCATGACTTAATTTAGTTTTGCGAGATAGAAAAGGAGATATCTAGCAGAATGTCTAGTCTGCACTGTCCTATAAAGGCAGCACGCTTTTAAAGTCAGCGTGAAATCAAAATTAATAATCTTAATTTTGCTAGCTCAAATTGTTATTCTTAAAGTGAATAATTAACCAGTGAAAGTTATGGCACCGGGAAAATCAGTTTGTTTTGGTAATCTTCAATGAAAGTCTGACCATTTGCTTTCGCTAGCTGGCAGTATGTATTTGTGTTCCTGTGTCGTGTTTCTTCATGGTTGTTTAGTTTTTTCTAAACTATCTTAATGTACAAGTAGCTGAAACTTGCTCATTCAAAGGTGGAAGCCAGTCGATGTGCAAAAACTTTAATCGTCAAGTACACAAAAAAAAGTTTCCATCTGGAGCTCCTTCACGGGACTCCACACTTTTAAACACTCGCTCCAATGGGCTTGCTGCTTTTAGCACCGCCCACACTCGTCACCAATCACAGAGCTTGCTCGACCATGGCTCTACACGTCGTTGCAACCTGTAGTTACATTTTTTGACTGAGAGGTGTGCGTCAGCGAGGGCTATGCGACCGCGCGAAAGCTGTGCCATCGAATACACATAAAGCAGAAGTATAAATCAACATCCTTTACCATTAGTTTGCCACGAGGGAATGATGTGCAAAATGAAAGCCCCACCCCTACTTAAAGGGCACCTAGGTTACCCCTTTTTTCAGATTTAATATAAGTCTTTTGCGTCTCTAGAATGTGTATATAAAGTTTCAGATCAAAATACCCATCAGATTTTTCATTATACCTTTTACAAGATGCTGTTTTATACTGATTTCCAGCAGGGGGTGGTTTTGTCGTACTGCGCCTTTAAGACGAGTCTTTCCCGCCTACTATTTCTACATGCCTCCTCCCTCAGCTGCGTCAGACAACAGACAGACTTAAAGGAAGAAGGTCTCACGTAGCGTTTGTGAGATACTACAGTAAGAACTAACCTTTACTAATCAGTATTGTGAAGTTGCATTGATGAGTCACACACAATATCGTTACAAAGTTAACGCGCGCGACACACACACACACACACACACACACACACACACACACACACACACACACACACACACACACACACACACACACACACACACACACACACACACACACACACACACACACACACACACACACAGGCAGGCAGACAGAGCGCGCTTAGTTTAGTTAAGGCTAACCTCAAGTACTGTGTGGATATCTGTTATGCTGATGTACAAAATAAACCTGATTTAACTTCCACAAACCGGGATTGAAGCGTCTTCTTTTATAATTGTTCTGACACGCGGCTGTGCTGATGAAGTAAAGCTGAAGTAAAACGCTGTAATTAATTACACACATACTCTGTTTTAAAACACTTTAAACATGTGAAACTTACTCTTAATCACATTTGATGATGATTGCTGATCCTAGCGAACAGAACAAATCTTTTATTCCCGGTTGCTTTGCGTATGTCTGCCTGGTCTTGTTGACATATACACGCGACTACCGGAACATGTTAATGCGCGCAGCTGTCAATCAATTCGGTGGGCGGGGGGATCGCACACCTACGTAATGGTGCGATCGATTTGAAAACAGCTCCAATTGGCTGACCCTTTTTTTGTAGTTAAATTGAAACAAAAGGACTGGGTGTGTTCATATCACCCCAGTATGACGGTCTATACACTATACCAACACACAGATCTGTCCAAACAGCTTGAAAAGTAGATTTTTTACCATAGGTGCCCTTTAATATTCCATTTCAGTTGGAAGTACATCGACATAATAAAAGTCTCAGCAACTTCCGGTTCCATAGTTTAATGATTTTACATTGCACATTTTGACACCCTTGTTTTTATGAAACGGGACAAAATTGAACCTGGAGACAGAACAGATGTCATAAAGGCTGATTTAGGATTTAAAGTCTGTGTGAACATGGAGAAAGAAAAAAACTATCATAAGATAGGGAACTATAATATAAGGAACTATTTAAATATCTAAAATAAAAAGAATTGAGAAAATTGCCTTTAACTTTGTCCAAATAAAGTTCTTAGCAGTGCTTACTACGAATAAAAACTACATTTTGATATATTTACATTAGGAAATTTACCAAAAAATGTAAAATAACACAATCTTTATTTAATTATCAACTGATTTTTGGGATGAAAGGATTGTTTTATATATTTTTAACCCATACAAGTATATTTTTGTCTATTGCCAATATATGCCCCTGCATAATAAGGCTGGTTTTGTTGTCCAGGGTCACATTCATTCATTTTCTTGTTGGCTTAGTCCCTTTATTAATCTGGGGTTGCCACAGCGGAATGAACCACAAACTTATCCAGCTTTTTTTTTATGCAGCGGATGCCCTTCCAGCTGCAACCCATCCCTGGGAAACCCCACACACACACTCATTCACTACGGACAATTTAGCCTACCCAATTCACCTGTACCGCATGTCTTTGGACTGTAAGGGAAACCGGAGCACCCGGCGGAAACCCACACGAACACAGGGAGAACATGCTAACTCTACACAGAATGGCCAACTGAGCCGAGGATCGAACCAGCGACCTTCTTGCTGTGTTGCAACAGCACTACCTACTGCGCCACTGCTTCGCCGTCCAGGGTCACATATTAGCAATTAAAACTAATCATTAATAGAAATTTAATCGGGTAGAGTGAAATATTTAAAAGCAACTATTCCAGCTAAATATAATCAATGCAATACGTCAAATTTCCTGCAGACATGGCAATAATGTATACTACTGTATGTCATCCAATAGTTCTGTGTGATGAATAGTTGAATTGGAAGTTATTTCGGGGGATTTCAACAGCTCTAGACTCCGTTCACTTTCATTGTAACAGAAGCTTTGGAATTCTGACTAATATCTCCTATTAGTTTTCACCAGAATAAGAATAGTACTGTGGGTTTTGCAGCGAAAACATGAGTTCCAGTAAACAATAACAAAACATACATTTTTGAATGTCATTACAGGACTTTCCCTCTGGCTCTGGATGTAGGATGTGGAAGGAGCCACATCGCAGAGCATTTGAGTAAGGTAAAACTGTTCTTAGTCTGGCAAGTATCCATTATTTAATCCATATTTTCGTGCAGAAAAAAAGTAATTTGAGTCATGAGAAGCTTGTAATCTTCACTTTATTGAAAAGAGCAGCGTGCACATCTTTTTTTGTGTTTTTCAGCAGAATTTTTAAAGTTATATTCCTAAATTAAACGCGTCTTATGGTAACACGGATTCTCTCTCATTTCAGGAGGTTGTCGAACGTCTCTTTCTAACAGACATTTCAAGCTCGTCCCTGGTAAGAGACTTCTTGTTGCTTTGTTTTATTTGCAAATGCAAAATACTGTAAATATGTGCATTATAACTGCGTTATTATGCCCATTCTAACAGTCAAAAGTTTGGGGTCAGCAGGATGTTTTTGTAAGAAATTAATACTTTTATTTGGACATGATGCTAGTTCAAGATGCTGGTATTTAGCTTAAAGTGACATGTAAAGGCTTAATTTGGCAGGTTAGGGTAATTAGGCAAGTCACTGTATAATGATGGTTTGTTTTGTAGACAATTGAAGAAAAATATAGCTTAAAGGGGCTAATAATTTTATTAAAATGGTTAAAAAAATAAATAAAAACTGCTTTTATTCTAGCTGAAATAAAACAAATAATACTTTCTCCAGAAGAAAAAATATTATAGGAAATACTGTGAAAAATGTCTTGCTCTGTTAAACATCATTTGGGAAATATCTTTAAAAGAAAATTCACAGGAGGGCTAATAATTCTGACTTTACCTGTATATGACTGAGATTTTCTTGCTTTTTTTTTTCTCTCCAGAGGAACAGGAAGAAAAGTGATATTCCCGCTCAGTGTGTGATGGCAGACGAGGAGTTCCTGCCCTTTAAAGAAAACACATTTGACCTAGTGCTCAGCAGCCTGAGGTACCACACCACCCCAGTGCATGATGGGGAAATTTAGGAATGAGCTGTTATTTACAAACCCTTATTTGTCTCCTCAGTATGCACTGGATCAACGACCTTCCCGGAGCCCTGCGACAGGTATGAGTAGCGCTATATATCATTCATTCATCTTTGCCTTAGCCCCTTTATTTATTAGGGGTCACCACAGCGGAATGAACCGCCAACTATTCCAGCATATGTTTTACGCGGCGAATGCCTTTCCACCTAGAACTAAGTACTAAGAAACACCCATACACACTCATACACCACGGCCAATTTAGTTCATCTAATTCACCTATACCACATGTCTTGGGACTGTGGGGGAAACCCACGCCAACATGGGGAGAAGATGCAAACTCCACACAGAAATGCAAACTGACCCAGCCGGGACTCGAAGCAGTGACCTTTTTGCTGTGAGGCGCAAGTGCTAACCACTGAGCCACTGAGTGAAGCTAAATTGTCTGTGGTGTGTGTGTAAATGAGTGTGTATAGATGTTTCCCAGTGATGGGTTGCAGCTGGAAGGGCATCTGATGCGTGAAACATATGCTGGATAAGTTGACGGTTCATTCTGCTATGGTGAAAATGAAATGAATGAATGGACTTGTGTTGTGTTCAGATTCACCAGGTGTTGAAGCCGGATGGTGTGTTCATCGGAGCGATGGTCGGCGGTGAGACGCTGTACGAGCTGCGCTGTTCTCTGCAGTTGGCGGAGCTGGAGAGGGAGGGCGGGTTTGCGCCACACATCTCACCGTATACTGCCGTCACTGACCTGGGCAACCTGCTGGGACAGGCCGGATTCAACATGCTCACTGTGGTAAATATAAAGGGGCCCTATTACATCCTTTTTTACAAAATGTAAAATAAGTCTCTGAACTCCCTAGAGTGTGAAGTTTCATGTCAAAATACCACACTAATACTGTTTTATAGCTCTCTGAAACTCACCCATTCAGGCTTTGATCCAAGTTGTGCCGTTTGGTGCCTGTTGCTTTAAATTCAAATGAGATTGTGCTCCCAGCCCACATTTCAAATAGGGATGGAGTTACAAACACGCTATGCATCAACATAGCGGCAGATTTATGCTGTGCTCACACCAGACACAGAACGCGCGGATAAATTGTGCTATTCACACGTAAATAGACGAGTGAACATTTTATGAGTTTGCTCGCTTCATCCGAAGGTCAAATGCACTAAAAAATCATCACAGATTTCCATACCTGCCAACAATTGTCTCTGAAAATCCGGAACACCGGGTGGCAGGGGGGGTGGATTTGCGAACATTAGAAGGGGGGGGATTAGTGAATTGAAGATCAGAGGGGGGATTGGGGTGTTCCCAAACTGAAGAATGGGGTCCTTGGTCTGTCCTACCAAGGTCGGCGATCAGGGGACTGTACAAAAAAGCAAAAAGCTGAGGAACGGGGGTTAGGGGGTTGAAATTCCAGGAGTTTTCAAAACGGGAGATGGGTCTGAAATAAAGGAGACTCCCCGGAAAAATGGGAGTGTTGGTAGGTATGGTGGATTTGCTTGATGAGCAGGGCTTCTGTCTGCCCGGTGACACTAGCTTGGTGGCTAAAAGGCTAACATGGCTTTTATTGAGAGAATAGCTGTTTTATGTGCTTTATTAAAGCTGAAAAACAGCGTCGATTCGTTTGGAGCAGTGTCTGAGTCCACTAGATCTTTCAGAGGTGCACCCAGCTCTGTGAGCTCATAAACTCCTCCAAAAACTTAAGCTGGAGGATGGAGGCTTTCAGTGTTGCTTCTGACTGAGCAACTTCTACCCCGGAGCAACTTTTACTCCGGGACACCAACAGCAGGCACTACATCATAATCACTCCCCCACAAGAGAAAGCTCCTGATTGGTTAACGCGGCACGAATGTCCGCTGAAGTTCAGATTTTCAAACTTGAGCGATTCGTTAAGCGCGTCAATCGTGCAAAACTCTCAACTCGCACCGCTTTATTCGCGCAAATCGCATCATTCGCACTGCCTCATTTGCACGTATTGCGCTGTAGGATGTCTATTTGCGTCATTGCATTGACTTAACATGTAAATTACTCGACTTTTACGCTTCCTTGACGCATCTGGTGTGAACGCAGTATTAGACACTATATTTTAAAGCCTTTTATCTGCTTCGTGTGATTATATCCAGGCTCATTGTTGTGTTGCAGGACATTGATGAAGTTCAGGTCAATTATCCTGGTATGCTGGAGGTCATGAGGGATTTACAAGGTAAACTCTGAGTTTATGTCTAATGCTATCAAATGGAAGGAAAGTTCGTTCACAGTTTCTGTTCTTCAGGTATGGGTGAGAGCAACTGCGCATGGAATAGAAAGTTACTCCTGCAAAGAGACACGATGTTGGCGGCGGCGGCTATTTATAAAGGTGTGACTCGTGCGGAAGCGCACCATTTAATATATATATATATATATATATATATATATATATATATATATATATATATATATATATATATATATATATATATATATATAAAAATATAAATATTAATAATTGTGATAAATATTGAGGAAAAAAAGTCACCTTTAGTGCAAATTAAGCTCTTAGCAATGCATATTACTAATCAAAAATTTACAGTCGAAAATTTGATCTTTAGTTAATATTCGAATGATTTTAGCATGAAAGAAACATTTTGACCCATACGATATATTTTTGGCTATTACCAAAAATATTCCAGTGCAACTTAAGACTGGATTTGTTGTCCGGGGTAACATATATTTATTAATTATTAAACATTATATACAATAATATTAGAATGTTTCATGTAAAAAAAAAAATTACATAATTTTAAATATAGACAAATGTGGGTTTAAATATTAAAAATTTAATAATCAAGTGAAATCATATTACTTTGTTTCTCACGCGTTTATTTACGTTTGAGCAATCATATAATCTATTTTAAGGTGTGATTTATTGACAGATAAAATTAATCGTAGTGATTAATAAAACATTATTATTATTATTAAATTACATTATTCAATAACATTATTAAATATTATCCTGTTGGTCGTCAATCTGGCAACCTCAGCATGCGTGTGTTCTGATCCAAGTGTGCAATACCTAGTTTAACCACTAGGTGTTAAACTTACTGCACTTTTAATATCACTTTTTTTTTTGCTAAAGCTTAAACCCATAAAATAATATGTAATAATTTTGACTTCAGCTGAATATATTTTGTGTTTACCAAAATTTAGAGATGTACGGCAATGAAGACGGTTCAGTTCCTGCCACCTTTCAGATCCTCTACATGATTGGCTGGAAGCCTCACGACTCTCAGGTATGCTGCATTTTCATTGGCTACTTTTATTTATTTATTTATATATATATATATATATATATATATATATATATATATATATATATATATATATATATATATATGCTGACCAATCACATGTGAGATACTGACTTGTGATGAATTTACAGGCCAAACCAGCAAAACGAGGCTCGGCGAACGTCTCATTTGCAGATCTGTCGAAAATAGGCAAACTTCAGAGCGACCAGTAGAAAAACCACCACAAATCCTGAAACAGAAGCACATTTTTATTCATCACGTCCACTTCTGAAGGAGCTGCGTTAATCATATGAACATGATCACATTGAAATGTCGCATCAACAAAACTGTATTTTTGCAAATAAATAAACTGTGAATTCATTATGGCCCTGAAACGGCTCGTCACTGAATTACCAGATCTATTACATTCAGTTTCAGAAATAAAAATAATGCAAACATGGATTTAAAAATGTGTACATCTTACTCCCAGTATTCATTATAAGTAAACACAATAATGCTAACGGCTAATTTAGCAGTGCTATCCCTTTCTTCATGAAAACAAACTCCCTCTGTACAGATCAAGTGTACAATATACATTCTGCATATACATATGGCTTTATAGTACTTCAGTCAGACAGTAATTTACAGCGTAGACTACAGTAAAAGCCCTTAAAGGGGCAGTCCACCCCAAAATTGCTGCCATTAAAAGGAACACTCCACCTTTTGAGGGGGAAATGTTCTAATTTTACTGCTCCCCTAGAGTTAAACGATCGAGTTTAACCACTTTTGAATCCATTCAGATGATCTCCAGCCTGACTTAAGCACATTTAGCTTAGCTTAGCATAAATCATTGAATAAGATTAGACAATTAGCATCTAGCTTTGCTTATTTTTCTATTCAAAGCTTGTGTAGTTAGCTTTCATTTTTGGCCTAAGTACACAGTGTAACTACACAAAAGTCAAGCTTCAAACAGCAAAATTATCAAAACTCTTTGGTCATTTTTGAACGAGATGCTAATGGTCTAATCCGATTCAATGAATTATGCTATGCTAAGCTAAGCTAAAAGTGCTTCCGCCAGACTCTGAGATCAGCTGAATGGATTCAAACTCAGCTGTTTAACTCTATGGGTGTAGCAAAATAAGCCTAGTTCCAAAAAATGGAGTGTTTCTTTAAGATGATGGTGACTTTTGTGTCTTCAGTACAACATTAAAGACGTTTTTAGCTTAACCCGTCTCTTTGGCTACTTTTGGAGCCACTTTTAGGGTACAAAAAAAAAATCAAACACAGGCAACACTAAATGAATACATGTGGCTTATGAACTTAAAAGTAGACTTATGACGTGAAATAATTGAACAGTGCAAAAAATGTGAATGTTATTTACAATATTATTATCATTTTAAGACCTCAATGTATCACCACAAGCACAGATATTAATTTTATTTAGCCTGTATGTGTTTTTTAGACTCTAAAATGCTGGTAATAAATTGACTTGCATTTCAAAAATCACCAAGCACAACAGTTTCAGCTAAAAATCTACTCTAATATTGTACTGAAGACAAAAAAGTCTTCTTCTTAGATGACCTGAATTGATTTTTGGTGTGAACTACCCCTTTAATTGCATATAGGGCGATTATTCTGAATCAAAAGCACTATTAGTTGATCTGGAAGTCATGGCCTCACAGTACAAGTGCTAATTTGAGAGCTTTGACCTCACAGTGGTTATAAAAACAATAGAAATGTGCTGAAGTGTTATGGAGCTTGCTGTAATTGTTTGAAATGGCAGTATATGTGGATTAGAATCCAGAGTCAAGCATTGGCGATTCATTATTTACAGCGAAATTGATTTAAAGCGAACCACGAACTGAAGTAGCAGCTACAGGACGTCCCGTTTGTCCACAGAAACAGGCTTTGTGGTCCCTAATGTAAACACTAGACGTTTAGAGCAGGTTTTGATGATGATGAAGTCTATATTTCTCATTCTTCAAAAGCGTTTAAAGCTTGAATTAATGCCGGAAAGGCACTGACGAAACTATTTACATCTACTTTGGATCCTCAGTGTTGCACGATCCTGGTTTACAGCCTTCCTGAGTGAGTTTATGAGCAGGTACAGGTCGTATTTCACCTCAAAATAAAAAGAAAGAAAAAGAAAATTGTTTTTGTATTGTAATTTTGTTATATTTGATGACAATGCAGATTGGTTTAAAAGATTTAGCACTTAAATTGGAGTAGTTATACAACGTAGTTGCACAGATGTACTGGTATATTTAATCAATGCTACTTTAAATAATAATACTTATAACAATATAATATAACAATATACATTTAAGTAATTCTTATCTATATTATAAAAAAAAAAGAAATATATATATATATATATATATATATATATATAAATTTATACATATATATACATATATTATTTATATATATATATATATATATATACACACACACACACACATTTTATGTTTATTTATATTTATATATATATTTTCAGATATTTCTACATCATACTTGCTTTGTTTTACGGCTATTCTCAGTCAGTAGTAATATAATAATATTAATAATAATAAGAGTAATAATAACTGTTTGTTGTTATTATAATACAAATATAATACAATAATTTCAGTAATTTTAAACTTTAATACAAATAATTACAGTACAATTAATTACTGGTATATTTAATGAATGCTACTATATAATAATACTTATAACAATGTAATATAATAATATACATTTAATTAATTCTTATCTATATTATAGAAAAAAAGTATTACTATGAGAGTTACACCTAAAATAAACTACAAAAAAAGAAAAAATATATATATACATATAATTTTATTTATTTATTTATTTGTTTATTTATTTAAAGTTATATTGTCAGGGAATTCTACATCATAGTTGCTTTGTTTTACTGCTATTCTCAGTCTGTGGTAACATAATAATAATAATAATAATAATAAATTGTGTTTGTTGTTGTTATTATTAATATACAAATATAAAATAAAAATTTCAGTAATTTTAAACTTTAATACAATAAGTTACAGTACAATTAATTACTATAATTAAAATCACACCTAAGAATAAACCAAAAATATATGTAATAATAAAGATAATCTATTGTGCGCATTATATAAAACTGCCTTGAAAAAAACAAATGTCACCATGCAAAACATCTTTTGTGGACCTAAAGACTTGATTTTAAGCAGAAAATATACTTCCTTATTTTGTGGGATTTTATTTTAGGGTGAAATGTTTTGGAGTGAATTGGTTTGTAGTTACGTATTTGTTGCATGAAGTCTATGCAAATGAGTGCGTGTGTGTGTGTGTGTGTCAGCCCGTCCCGTGGCTGCTGTAGTCGAACACCCCCTTCTTAAAGAAAGGTGAGATGTCCCACACGGCGTGTTTGGAGAGATTGAGGCCGAACTCGTCTGTGCTGATTGGAGAAGAGGACGACGTGGACATCATCACCCGGAAGAAGTTGCGCAGGTATTGCTGGAGGAACAGAACGACATTATACATCAGCAGTGGTTTTTCATTGGCCGACGACTGAATGAACGTAAAACGCATCTGATCACCTCCAGCTGGTTCCGGCGCTCCGCGATCGTCCGCTCGTCTCGGTTCCCGAAAATCTTCTTGGGTGGGAAATCCAAAGCAGCAAGCTTAAAAAAACAACAACATTGAAGATCCTGATAAATCAATTGTTTACTAATATTATTTTAATATTAGTTACTAATTATTCTAATATTAGTTACCAATTATTTACAAGATAAACATTTTTTAATTATTTACGAAATACAGTTTAGAGATGCAGTAAGTTTTAACACCCAGTGGTTGAACTAGGTATTGCATTCCTGGATCAAAACACGCAAGCGCAGGTTGCCAGATTGAGGACCAACAAGAGCGAGTGTTCTACATAAAAGCAATGGCATGCGGTAAAATAAATTTAAAGGAGTTTTTGTCCTAACCAACACCTCGAATTGACATATTAGAAACGGCTTCTATTTCTTTACAATGATCACCTCAGGTACACCTCATGTGCTTTATTCAGTGTTAAATGCTAATAATGTGAGTTTGAATGCCATTTTACATGACATTTACTGCCATTTCTTGTACTACACAATTCTTAGGAAAAACAACATGATTTTAATACATAAAATACCTTAAATCTACTGGACAAAATATTTTATATACATATATATATATATACACATTTTTTTAAACAAATTAATCTTATTAATATGCAAAAAAGTGGTCCTATTTGGTCATAATTTGTATTATGTTGACAAGTATACATATTGACAAGTTAAATGAACATTTAAACTTTTACATTTGTGCATTTTTCTAATTAAAATGCTTTAAAAAATCTTAATATTAATAATAATTAAACAAATAAAAACAAATAAATGCTCCTAAAAATGTACTTAAAAAGATGTGCAAATTATATAGAAAGAGACAGATTACTGGAATTAATTTGATCTAAATTGATATTCATTTTTAACATTTATATTTTTATCCACAATGAATGAATTACAACATGAAAACAACATGACTTAATGTTCAAATACAATTCACACAAACATTTGATAGATTTCATAACTGAACAGTTTTTACATTGATAGATTGATAAATAACCGATAGATCGGTGATGCTTTTACATCATACCTCTGGATATTTGAGCTTCATCGATTTGTGCATCTCCCGAAAACGACTGTATCTTCTGAACACCGTCCAGGTTTCATCCAGAACAGTGATCTAAACCCGGACACAGAAAACTCAGCTCAAACACGCACTCAGACACACAGATATCAGAGTGAAACACCGACAAACCTTGACTTCAAACTCAAAGTGCTCGTCTTTGCCTTGTCCACACAGCACATAGCGCGGGATGCAGATCTTCACCGGATCCTTCAGACTCTCCGGACTCAGATCCAGAGGAATCGACACCAGCCGCTGTGGAAATGAGAGCAAATACAATCAGAAAACGATCTCCGTTTGAGTGCTCGGGAAATAACGTTCAATAAACATACAAGACTGTACCTCGTATTTGAGTTTGCGCTGGTCGAAACGCTTTTTATCATTGTCCTGTGAGATTGAAAGAGGTCATTAGAGTCACGTGATTGCTGAGATATACAGTACTGTGCAAATGTCTTCGGCCACCATTAGGTTTGTAATTTTAGTATAATTATGTATCATATAGTGTAATAATCTCATGCTCCTCACCTGAAAAATAACTATATTTATAGATAGATTATGAAATTGTATGAAATTTGAAGATATTCATGATTTTTATAGATAAAAACAGCTAAAACAGTCATGAAATGGCCTCCCCAGACTCCAGACCTTAATATAGTGTAGTAGAGGCAGTATAGGATTACCTG